GTTATAGGTTACAGTAGGCCTGAATGTAGCTAATAAATTGGCTTTCTTCTATGTCTAATTATATTTAAAATGCTGAACATAATAATAGTAGCCTATTGTTAATTGTAATTATATTTATTATTATAATACAATTTTTAGCACATTTGGTATTGATGAGTTAGTGTAAATGTTTTACATGTTGTATTAATATTGACATATAAACATCACACATCACTATAATCAGGCCTTTAGGGATTCGAAATGGTAAATTACCCTTAAGAATATAATATATTAGACGAAATGATCAAACACCGAGAGTTTCTGCACCGACCTTCTCTTTCTCCACGAAGCCCACGAAGTTGGTCCTCTCGATCTCCACCGGCTGACCCTGCCGGTCGTACAGAGCCAGGACGAAGTGGAAGAAGTTGGATTTACGCAGGTTGGAGGGCGGCTGCTTCTCGAAGTGAGCCCGGGCCAGACCCACTCCACTGAGGACAAACATGCGTGGAGGAGTCGGTGTTAGAAGCTTTACATTTTTACATTTTTAAGGTGTTTACAAAATAAATATTAATACATATGAGGACCGAATTAACGCAGCGACAACATAATACTATATTGTATCGTCTTGAGTTGTGTTTATTACTGAAAGTTAATTTATTAAAAACAAATAAAAAATGTATGATTTTCTGAAATAATAACAAAATGTGTTGAAGTCTGATTTTCTCATGACAATCTGAGACAGGGGTCATGATTTATCCACCTTTACATCCATGAGGACCAATTTGAGAATCATGTTCCTCCTTAATAAACCATGATTATGATTGTTTGATCATTTATTTTAAATCCATTTTTAACCCAAAGTAAAGCACTAGAATTATTACTTCGCCTCTTTGCCTTTATGTTAATTAAACATCAGCCAACTATGAACAGAAGGCTCGGGGTGTGTGTGCGTAAAAATCTGTAGTAGCCCACATGTTGGCATTAACTAAATACGGTCTCCTAAAATTATACATTAAAATTCATTTTTTAAATGCTGCAAAAATAATCTTAGTTTAATTAATTCTCGTATCATTATTTAAATCCCAATCTCTTCCTCCGGACAGCAGCTCCCATAAACCCAGCATCGTGTCCTGCACGGGTGGCTGCAGCAGGGTCCTGACAGAAGAAACACGTTGTTCCATGTTTCGGTAAATAAGGCAGGGTGGTAGCAGGTCTCTTCCACCCGAGAAGAGCTCACCTTTGGGCGGCCGTGTTGGCGTCCAGCACGCCGCCCCCCTGCATCCAGCTCCGGACAGAGTTCATGCCTCCCAGCGGCTCCTCTTTCAGGCTGCCGCTGCGCTGGATGCTCTCCTGGATCCCAAACATGAACAAATCTCCACAGCTCGATGCCTCTCCTTCTGTTTCCCGGTCTCTCCTCAGCGGACTGTGCACTTGTTCTCCTGTAGATCCTTCACTCTGATTCAAGAGGAGCAACGTGGTGGCGCTTTGCTGCGGCTGTGAGCCTCGCTACAAATCAAGCAGTCGTATGATAATTCATGCAATTCTAGTCCTCGTGTGTACTAAAACGTAGGGTGAATCATACTGGAGTAGAATCCAAAATGTCAAAAAAAATCGCGGCCAGTCCCAGTGTGAACAGATGTTGAAAAGTCACTCCTTGCGCTTGGAGATCCACAGTTCAAGCTGTCAGATAGAAAAAAAGAGATCAACTGGCACCCAGATCAGGTGTCATCCTTATCTGACACTTCTTTCTCCCTCTTCTCGCACTTTGCTCTCTCTTCTTCTCCCTCAGCCCAGCGGTCTGGGACGTGTCGGTGGTGTGTGTGTCCGGGGCAGCGCTGCGTCCTGCGGATGAGTCCCGAGCTCTGCTCTGCGCTCTCTCTGTGTGAGGAAAACGCTCTGTGACTCTTCCCAAAGGACTCTCTCTGAGAACCAAACACGGGCTTCTCCCGCCCGGAGGGGAGAGAGAGGGAGGTAGGATGGGAAAGGAAAGAGAGGAGGGGACCGGAGGAGAGGAGGGGAGGGGACAGGGAGAGAGGAGAGGAGAGGAGACGCCCCCAAACAAAGGCGAGAGTGGAGTCAGGTCCGCCCCATGCAGCGGCCACGGAGCTCCTCTCCTCCCTCTGTCCTCCCCTATTCCCGGGCCGGGATCCCTCTCTGTCCTTAAGGGATACTTTAACAGAAACATCTCTTTCTGTAAATGTGGAGATTAATTCTTGTGCGCACCACATAACTGACAACCGACCTTGAAAGTGTCTTTCTTTGAGTCGGCTGCTCACGATGCTGCAATAAACTCCCATCTCTCAGTGGCTCTTCAGGGTGAACACATTCGGCTGCAAGAAAATCACAACTCCTTACTTTAAACAGCTAGATTACTTTTACGCAAGACATGAAGTCTAATGAAAATATTAAGTAAAAAGAGGAACACAAATAGCTTGTTGCATCTTTGATTGGATGCATGAGAATATTGCTTTTGTTTTCTAATATTCTATTCCACAATATATTCACATTAACCAAATTATGATTGAGAGAAAATTGGGATTTTACTGCTTTAAGAAAACATTTGATATTTTCTTTATCTGGTGTCATTATTAGACTTAAGCAATCTTCAAATCTCAGCATGTACATTTAAATCTCAGTTTTATTTAGACCAACTGGTTAGGCTCCATTATAAAAGCCATATTTCATCATCACAACATATGCCTGCTCCCCATTGTCTTCCTCGGGCCTGCTTATTGCAGACTAGCGCCGCAAGACGCACAAACAAAAGTAACAATAACAATAATTAGCTCAAAATAACAATGAACATAATTGAGGATAATTGCTACCAGATTTCCCTGCTTTGTCTCTCCCTCAAGCGCCATCTGTTATTTGAAACAATTTATCACGGCGAGAGGGAATCCAAACAAATACACATATTAATAGATAATTCCTTGAACTCGTTTAATAAAATAAAGCTACAGGGTATTGATCTGTCGAGATGCAGAAAGGTCAAAAACTTTTGTATTATTCAGCTGGCTGTGAAAATGATTGGCAGGTCGAGCTGGCGCGGTTCCAGCGTTTAATTCCCAGAGGTTATTGAAAAACGCTCTTGACCTTGATTATGGAGAATACGAGTCTTTTATGATCCAGTTTGCTGCTTATAGAGGGAGAGAGACACAGTGGAGGATCAGTCCGTCAAGTATTCAATCGGGTTCACAGCTGAAGAAAAAATACATGTGAATGGAGGAGTGTGGGGGGGCCCTGGTGTTGCGATCGATCGGAGTGGGCTTAAAGCATTTATAGGCCTATCAGTTTATTCAAAAATACATATTTATCTGTGTAAGCTCTCATGGGAATTTAAATGTGTGTAAATTCTATTAGCTAATATTGCATCTAAAGAGCTTGCTATTTTAATGAGTTCTCCTGCAAAAGGAAAAGCTTACAATTGTTTTAATTACTTAAAAATGCAAGCCTTCTGGTTAGGGATATTATTGATTTATGAAGATCCTGAAACTGATAAAGATCCTGAAACTTTTGTTCATTTACATCCATTAGATAAAAACAACCAGAGGTGCTTGTGATCCTACAGGTTTTTACATCAAAAAGGCTGCTAGAATACTCAAACAAACAAATCGCTTATAGAATAAAAAGGTCACTTTAGCTGAAGTGAGGATATCATATAATCAAATGTAATGAAGTGTTATGTTCGAAACGTAAAAGAAGATATAAATCATAAGAAAAAAAAATAAAACAAACAAATAAATCTTAAAATGCGCGCCAATCCCATTGAACAAACGGAACAATATAGCAGAATGAAGAGAAACACGATGAAAAAACACTATAAGAGTCTCTACAATACTGTCATACATATTCGTGTGTGTGTGTGTGTGTGTGTCTCACAAGCCGCGGTTAGGCTCTTGGATCGCTTCTCATTCAGACTAAAAACGACACAGTAGCGCCATCTTGTGTCCGACTCCTCCAACTACATGCTCACTGAGGCACAGGCCGACCTAACCTGATGGACACATCATAAACTATTACATTATTCTGAATAAAACAGAGATGTAAGCAGGTTGTAATTTCTGAATTTAAATGGCTGAAATGTCTGTGATGAAAACCTTACCACTTTGTTCTACTTTATATTAATATGTCTGTATGGTCCATATAATTGATGTACAGTACAGAATCATATTTTGTGTATACAATAATATATTTAAATATTAGGCTTGCTAATACTAGAACTATCCATCCATCCATCCATCTTCTCCCGCTTATCCGTGATCGGGTCGCGGGGGTAGCAGTTCCAGCAGAGAGCCCCAAACTTTCTTTTCCCTGGCGACATCAACCAGCTCTGACTGGGGGGATCCCAAGGCGCTCCCAGGCCAGCGAAGAGATATAATCCCTCCACCTGGTCCTAGGTCTACCCCTTGGTCTCTTCCCAGCTGGACGTGCCTGGAACACCTCCCTAGGGAGGCGCCCAGGTGGCATCCTAACTAGGTGCCCGAACCACCTCAACTGGCTCCTTTCGACGCGAAGGAGGAGCGGCTCAACTCCGAGTCCCTCCCTGATGACCGAACTTCTCACCTTATCCCTAAGGGAGACACCAGCCACCCTGCGGAGAAAACCCATCTCGGCCGCTTGTATTCTAATACTAGAACTAATCAAAAACAATTATACTAAATCAATATGCAATATGAATGACATGACATACTCCAAATACAAATCAAGTAAAGCATGAGATCAGAACGGATGGTTCATTTTATTTCTGACATTCAATTTTTGTAAAATAACCAAGGCATGTCAGGCATAAATTCCAACACCAAATGTGAAGCGTTTTTAAAAACAACCGGCATTCAGAGTCAGGTTCTACAGAGCAGGTCCCAAATGTGTCTGGAATAAACAGACAAAAGAAACTAATTCAAAGAAAACTCTGTGGGGCATCTCTAGAGCTGCCCTGAACACCATCAACTAACGTCTGTAAGTCAGAGGCAATAGCATTGGACAGCAGTGTTGTTTTCAGAGAATATGAGTGCTCTGTTGCAGCTATAGATTCCATTACAATATATGCTTAATCAAAGTGTGATGAAGTTAGCCTCAAGCATCTGGATTTCAGATGGGAAAGTGACTTCAGCCATTATTGGATACATGTATTCAGATCCTCTACGGCGTACTACACTACATTCAATAAGCAATGTTTAATGAATACACATTAACTACCATTTTAAGAAATATTGGGTTGTATAGGTTTTGTAGTGCCAGCTGATTAAGAGCAATAATAAAATATAATTTCTGTTAATTTACTTATTGCATGTACCATTTTTACAACAGAACATAAGCTTACAGGAGGAGATGCTATCTAACATGTGTGTTGCTCAATGTGCGGATCATTAGAGAATATAATACTTTTTAAATGAAGTAAATTCCACAGATTAAATCTAAGATGCATGAAAATAATGCCTTTAAACATTGAAGAGCTTAGTTTAACGTATCCAACTTCTTGGTAATCAAATAAAAATACTGTATAGTAACAAAATAAATATTGAGTTTAAGATAAAATACTATATATGTCACAGTTCATTGTCTAGAAAAGTGACCAAATAACAGCAATTCTCCAACATGGAGTATAAAGTAAGCAAATACATCTGGAATCTACAGCTGCCAGGCTTTATCACGTGATACTGCACTGCTAATTCTAAGACAGTTGCCAATGACGGTTCTCATCGTGTGGAGCATGTGACATGTTGCCGTGCAGGTGACTCCTCTGCTCGACACAGCTCACGCTGCACAGTGAAACCCCAGGAGTGTGTGAAGCTTTCAAATCTTTGTAACCATTTCAAGTGCTTTGTTTTACATCAAAGTCGAAGGAATGGAGCTTGATAATAAAAATGAGATCGAGTCATTCGAGAATACAGAAAAGTCCTTATGTTCACCTTTTTTGAGGAACAAGTGCAAAATACATCAAACTTTTCATCTCTTTACAAAAAAAAATGAAAGAGTTAAACAGCGTTGGCCAGGTTTGATCCTACATCGATTATGTATTCATTCTCAGCCCTGCAGCCAACGCTTTCTAATGTCAACAGTTAAGTCATTCATAGTAATAAGACCTTAAGTTATAGTGGTAGTAATTAATACATTTGAGGGTTAACTAGTGCTTCTCCTGTCCGTCAGCGACACGCAGATCCCACTCCTAACAATAGAGGGCATCAGAGTGATCACACCAGCTCAAAGCCGCGTCATACAGAGCGGAGAAGCAGCAACACTGGCTGGGCACACACATCAGAGGCGGGTTCCTCCAAAGCTTCTCACACACACAAGTTAGTCTTTGTTCACAGACATGACAAGTAATCAGGAACTTCAAACCACAAGGAAGCTTTGGAGGAACCCAGTCCTGGTCCTATTTATATATCAACACTCTTCTGATTTAATATAGATACCGTACAGAGCAACATTTATATACATCACAAACAGATTGGGCTGTCTCCTCGTACACACACACTTCACTTTGGTTGCTCACAGCCGAAGAACAGCTTTGGAGCGTTGCTAGTATAAATGACATTAGTGCAAATGCAACCCCAAAAACAAGAAAAAGAAACATTGGTAGCAAGGTGAGAGGACAATGAGACCCAAATAAATGCCGTGGTAACAGCGTGCAGGCTCTACATACAAGCGTGCATCAGGACTCATTCTCAAGTGTCAGTCTCTCATTCAGACTCTTCAACACAAACACACTTCATCTCGTCCGACCCCGTTTACTAATCACAGGTGCCGTCAGAGTGTACCATCGTGTGGGGGAAAAGCGTTCCTACCAATCGGCTCAATTTGCTGGTAATAACATTTCATAGAGTGACTAAGCAGCAGGATGGTGATGGTTTTAGGAAATACAGGGTGCTTTGATGTGATTGGTTTAAGAAGGAGCTGAATGGCGCATGGTGATGGCTCCTACCATGAATTCATGTCAATGGTAAACTTTGGAAGGTGTGTGACTGGTTAAATATATATATGTAAAATGATCTGAGCTCAGGGAGAGGAGTACTATGAAGTGAAGACATCGAGGGGATTACATTCCCGCCACATTCTCAGCTAAACAGTGCTTTCTGTCGTGTGTCATCTCCCTCTGTCTTTCTCTCCCTTCTTTCAGTCCGTCTGCACTGCGGGCTGTCCAATAAAGCAGTCATGTAAAAGTTATCTCAAAAATAACATCTTTTTAACAGTTATACAAAAGTTTTGGCGATGAGGAGAAGAGCCTTTTTTTTTTGCTGGGACCAGCCAAACAAGTTTGATTCAAATATTGAAGCAGTAGAAGAGAGAGAGAGAGAGAAAGCTTGACAAGTGAAATGAATGAGTTCGTCCACATGTGAACCCTTTGATTTGTTCACTGTAACACTTAAATGGACCGGGCTTCAGGTCACGTGATGGCCTTAAGGAACAACATTCAGTCTGTTCATGCTCAGTGTATTCACTCGTACACTGCTATCCTCCAAAAGCGAAAACCAAATATCTTTATGGAACCGATGGAGAAATCTATAGACTTTATGACTGTCA